TCGACCCAAATCGGCCTTGGGTTGGTTGAGTCCAGATTGACCCAAATCGGCCTTGGGTTGGCCCAAATCAACCTTGGGTTGGCACAGATTGACCCAAATTGACTCAAATTGGCCTTGGATTGGTCCAAATCAACCTTGGGTTGACCCAAATTGGCCTTGGGTTGGCACAGATTGACCCAAATCGGCCTCGGATTGACCCAAATCAACCCAAGTTGAGTCCAACTCAAACTGACCCAAATCAACTCAAATTGAGCCCGGATTGACCCAAATCGGCCTCGGACGGACCTGGATCAACTCAAACTGAGCTTGGATTGACCCAAATCGAGCCCAGATTGACCCAAATCGGCCTTGGATTGACCCAAATCAACCCAAGTTGTGTCCAAATCGACCCAAATTGTCCCAAATCAACCCAAATTGAGCCCAAAAATTGTGGGCCGGGAGCTGCGTTTTTGGGGAGAAAAACCCGCGAGAAATTGAGGAAAACGTGGGCTGGGAGAAGGATCTGGGGGGGGGGTTCGCCAATTACTGGGATAATTAATTAATTAATTAATTAATCCTCTTTAATTAACTCCCCCTCCCGCCCAAAGCTTTGGGGCGAAACGCGGCAATTTCGGGGCAAAATCTGGGGATTTCGGGGGTGATTTTTGAGGCGAAACGCGGCGGTTCGGGGGCAAAACGAGGCAATTTGGGGCGAAAAGAGGCGATTTTGGGGCGAAACCCGGGGAATTTGGGGGCGATTTGGGGGAGAAACCCGGGGGATTCGGGGCAAAACTGGAGCGATTTCGGGGCAAAACGCGGAGATTTGGGAGCGGTTTTTGGGGCCAAACGGGGGGTTTTTGGGACTCACCGGGACCGGAAGTGAGTGAGGGCTCGGACCACGCCTTGCTCGTGACGTCATCGCGCCGCCCCGCAGACCCCGCCCCTCGATTGGGGGAGGCCTCCAAAAAACCCAAAACGCCCCCAAAACGCCCCCGAATCGCCTCAAACCCGTCACAAAATCCCCAAATCCCCCCGATCTCCCTCAAAAAACCCCCCAAAATCGCCTTTTTTCTCCCCCCTCCCCCCCTTTGTTCGGCCCGCACCGGAAGCTCTTTGGCCCCGCCCCCTTTTCCCGCGTCCAGCCAATCAGCTTCGATCTGCCCCCTCCTCTCCGCCAATCAGCGCCGGGCCCTCCCCGGAAGCCCCGCCCCCCGCCCCCCTCCGGGTCCTAGTGCCGCCCGACGCCCCCCCCAGGTAAGACCCCCCAAAAACCCCCCAAAACCACCCAAAATCGGGGTTTTTCCCCCCAAAATCGGGGCGTTCCCCTCCCCCTCCCCCGCCCCGACCCTCCCCCGCCCCCGAACGGCCCCTCCCGGGGGGGAATTTGGGCCCCACCCCCCCCCCAAATAAAGGGGGGGAGACCCCCCAAAACCCCCCCGGAAACCCTCGAAATTGGGGGTTTCCCACCCAAAATCGGGGTCCCAGTATCGCCCCAGTAGCTCCCCAGTAGCTCCCGATAACTCCCATTAACCCCCCCATTAACCCCCCCAATTAACCCTCCCAGTAGCCCCCCAGTCCCTCCCAGTTGCCCCCCCATTAAACCCCCCCCGCTTCCCTCCCAGTAACCCCCAATTAACTCTCCCAGTACCTCCCAGTAACCCCCATTAACCCCCAATTAACCCTCCCAATACCTCCCAGTTCCCCCCCCATTGGCCCCCTATTTTCTCCCATTAACCCCCCAGTAACCCCCTAGTAACCCCCCATTAACCCTCCCAGTTCACCCCCAGTTCCCCCCAGTCCCCCCATTAACCCTCCCAGTTCCCCCCATTAACCCTTCCAGTCCTCACCAGTTCCCCCAGTCCCCCCCAGTTCTCCCCATTAACCCTCCCAGCTCCCCCCATTCCCCCCCAATCCCTCCCAGTTCCCCCTCAGCTCCCCCCATTCAGTCCCCCCCAGTCCCTCCCAGTCCCTCCCAGTGCCTGACCACGCCCTTCCAGGGTCGCCATGGCCACACCTGGAGGGGCCACCGGGGACCCCGAGAGTGTCCCCAACTCACCTGGAGGGGCCACCACGGCCATGGACACACCTGGAGGGGACACCAGGGACTCACCTGAGGCACCTGGAGGGGCCACCACCCCCCAAAACTCACCTGGAGACGCCACCGCTGCCACCAGGAGTGTCCCCAACTCACCTGAAGGTGCCACCGTGGCCCCGAACTCACCTGGAGACACCCCCGGGTCACCCCAAGACTCACCTGGAGGTGCCACCACAGCCATGGAAACACCTGGAGATGCCCAAATGTCCCCCCAAAACTCACCTGGAGGTGCCACCACCTCCCTGAACTCACCTGGAGGTGCCACCACGGCCCTGAACTCACCTGGAGAAACCCCTGGGTCACCCCAAAACTCACCTGGAGATGCCCCTGTGTCACCTGGAGGTGCCACCACTGCCCCCATCTCACCCGGAGGTGCCACCATGGCCACCAGGAGTGTCCCCAACTCACCTGGAGGTGCCACCATGGCCCTGAACTCACCTGGAGACGCCCCCGTGTCCCCCCAAGACTCACCTGGAGGTGCCACCACAGCCATGGACACACCTGGAGACACCCCTGGGTCACCCCAAAACCCACCTGGAGACACCCCCGTGTCACCCCAAGACTCACCTGGAGGTGCCACCATGGCCCTGAACTCACCTGGAGACACCCCTGGGTCCCCCCAAAGCTCCCCTGGAGGTGCCACTGCTGCCACCAGGAGTGTCCCCAACTCACCTGGAGGTGCCGCCATGGCCATGAACTCACCTGGAGACGCCCTCGGGTCACCCCAAGACTCACCTGGAGATGCCGCTGTGGCCATGAACTCACCTGGAGGTGCCACCTGGGACACACCTGAGGCACCTGGAGGTGCCACCGCCCCCCTGAACCCACCCGGAGACACCCCTGGGTCACCCCAAAACCCACCCGGAGACACCCCTGGGTCACCCCAAGACTCACCTGGAGGTGCCCCCATGTCACCTGGAGATGCCACCACTGCCCTGAGCTCACCTGGAGACACCCCTGGGTCACCCCAAAACCCACCCGGAGACGCCCCCGTGTCACCCCAAGACTCACCTGGAGGTGCCACCACTGCCCTGAACTCACCTGGAGACGCCCAAATGTCCCCCCAAAACCCACCCGGAGACGCCCCCGTGTCGCCCCAAAACTCACCTGGAGGTGCCGCCACCCCCTCGAGCTCACCTGGAGGTGCCACACCCACCCTCGGCCCCGCCCCGCCCTCGTCCCGCCCCTGCCCTCCCTTCGCCTGCCCGTCGTGCCCCAAGTCGTTCCCGTCGCCGGCCAAGCTGGCCGTGCACCGCCGGGCCCACACGGGCGAGCGCCCCTTCGCCTGCCCCGAGTGCCCCAAGGCCTTCGCCGACCCCTCGGTGTTCCGCAAGCACCTGCGGGGCCACGCGGGGCTGCGGCCGCACCGCTGCGGCCACTGCCCCAAGGCCTACGCCGAGCGCAAGGACCTGCGCAACCACCAGCGCTCGCACACGGGGGAGCGGCCCTTCCTCTGCGCCGACTGCGGCAAGGCCTTCGGCCGCTCCTCGTCGCTGGCCTGCCACCGCCGCATCCACGCCGCCGCCAAGCCCTTCCCCTGCCCCGAGTGCGGCAAGGCCTTCACGCAGCTCTCGTCCTTCCAGAGCCACCGGCGCGTCCACACGGGCGAGCGGCCCTTCCTGTGCCCGCAGTGCGGCCGCACCTTCGCCGACCCCTCCAGCTTCCGGCGCCACCAGCGCGCCCACCAGGGCCTGAAGCCGTGCCGCTGCGGCGACTGCGGCAAGGCCTTCCGGCAGCCCGCCGACCTGGCCGTGCACCGCCGCACCCACACCGGCGAGCGGCCCTGGCGCTGCGGCGACTGCGGCAAGGCCTTCGTGGCCTCCTGGGACCTCAAGAGGCACCGGCTGACGCACTCCGGGGAGAGGCCCTGGCGCTGCGGCGACTGCGGGAAGGGCTTCGGCGAGAGGGCGGCGCTGGGCAAGCACCGGCGCACCCACTCCGGGGAGAGGCCCTTCGCCTGCGGGAGGTGCGGGAAGGGCTTCGGCGGCGTCTCGGGGCTGCGCAAGCACGAGAGGACCCACGGCAGGAGGGACGCCGAGGGGGCGGGGGGAAGCAACATGGCTGACACGGTGGAGGGGGACAGTGGGAGCCACGGGGCCGCCCTGAAGGAGGAGGGCGATGTGGGGGAGCCCAATATGGCGGCGCCCTGCGGGGGGAGCAATATGGCCGCCGGCGCGAGGGGAACCAATATGGCCGCCGGCGCGAGGGGAACCAATATGGCCGCTGTTGTGAGGGAAACCAATATGGCCTCCGGAGTGAGGGGAGGCAATATGGCCGCCCCCGGTTTGGTGTCCGCCGACATGGCGGCACCCTGTGGGGGCAGCAATATGGCCGCCGTTGTGAGGGGGAACAATATGGCCGCCCCCGGTGTGGTGCCCACCAACATGGCCGCTCAATACGGGGGAGCCGAGAGGGCCAATATGGCCGCCCCCGGCGGGGAGAACAGTGCGGCCCACCCCAATGTGGGAGTCTCCACTGGGGGGGGCAATATGGCCGCTACAAACGTGGCCGACCCCAATATGGCGGCCCCCATCGGAGAAACCAATATGGCCGCCCCAAATATGGCAGCCGCCGTGGGGGACATCAAAGTGACCCCCAAAACGCTGGGGGCCCTCGCCAACATGGCCGCCTTCGAGGGGAACGACGGGGGGGACCTCGGCGGAGGGTCCGACATGGCCGCCGGCGGGAGGGGAGCCAATATGGCCGCCGCCAACATGGCCGCCGCCAACATGGCCGCCCCCATTGGGGAATCCAACATGGCTGCCGCCAACATGGCGGCCCCCATGGGGGAAACCAACATGGCCGCCCCGCCGGGGCCCCGCCCCTTCCCCTGCCCCCTCTGCGGGCGGAGCTTCGCCTCGGGGGCGGGGCTGAGGCGGCACCAGCGACGTCACGACCCCGCCCCCTCCCCCATAGCCACGCCCCTGTCGCGATAGCCACGCCCCTCCCTTCCTCTGATGGCCACGCCCCCACGGGGTGGGTGGGGGTGGGGTGGGTGGGGTCTGGTTTTGGCCACGCCCCCGTTTTTGTGACGTCATAAATAAAGGATGAGACGAGTCGGGAATGAGGGTCTTTGGGGGAGGGAGGGGGGAGACCCCAAAATGCCCCAAAAACCCACCACAGACCCCCAAAATACCCCAAAACTCCCACGGGATCCCCAAAATACCCCAAATCCCCCTCGGGACCCCCAAAATACCCCAAAAAACCCACAGGATCCCCAAAATACCCCAAAAAACACACCAGGGACCCCCAAAATACCCCTAAAATCACCTGGAACCCCAAAAATACCCCAAATCCCCCCCGGGACCCCCAAAATACCCCAAAACTCCCACGGGATCCCCCAAATACCCAAAAATACCCCCCAAAAACCACCAGGGACCCCCAAAATATCCCCAATCCCCGCCAGGGCTCCCAAAATGCCCCAAAATTCCCCCAGGATCCCCAAAATACCCCAAAATCCCCCAAAAAACCCAACAGGGACCCCCAAAAATACCCGAAAACTCCCACGGGATCCCCAAAACACCCAAAAATGCCCAAAAAAACCCACCGGGGACCCCCAAAAATACCCCAAACCCCCTTTGGGACCCCCCAAAATACCCCAAAACCCCTCCTGAGACCCCCCAAAATACCCCTAAAAAACCCAAACCCCCTCTCAGCACCCCCAAAATACCCCGAAACTCCCCCGGGACCCCCAAAATAGTTCAAAATACCCCCAAACTCCCTCCTGAGATCCCCTAAAATGCCCCAAAACGCCTCCCAGGACCCCCAAAATAACCCACCCCCCCCCCCCCCCGGCCCCCAAAAAAACCCTAAAATCCCCCCGGGGGAGGGTCCGGGACCCCCAAAATCCCCCGGGGGGAATCCGGGACCACCCCCATGGGATTTTGGGGGGATTTTGGGGGGTTTGAGGGGATTTTGGAGGATTTTGGGGGTCCTTGGATCACTCCGAGGGGATTTTGGGAGGTTTGGGAAACTTTGGGGGGTTTGAGGGGATTTTGGAGGATTTTGGGGGTCCTGGAACCACCCGAGGGGATTTTGGGAGGTTTGGGGGGATTTGGGGGGGTTTGAGGAGATTTTGGGGAGGTTGAGGGGATTTTGGGGTATTTTGGGGTTCCCACGAGGGGTTTTGGGGTATTTTGGGGGTCCCGGGACCCCCCCCCGAGGGGATTTTGGGAGATTTGAAGGGATTTTGGGGGGGGGGTTGAGGGGATTTGGGGGAGGTTTAGAGGGGATTTTGGAGGATTTTGGGGATCCCGGAACCCTCTCGAGGGGGATTTTGGGGGTCTCGGGACCATCCCGAGGGGATTTTGGGGGAATTTGAGGGGATTTTGGGGTATTTTGGGGTCCCGGACCCTTCCCGAGGATTTGGGGGGTTTGAAGGGATTTTGGAGGATTTTGGGGGTCCCGGAACCCCCCCGAGAAGATTTGGGGAGGTTTTAGGAGATTTGGGGGGGGTTGAAGGTATTTTGGGGGTCCCGGAATCCCCCCGGA